GGGAGACCGGGGTGGCCATGGGGACACCTTGGGGGTCATGAGGACACCTGAGGGGCCAGGGGGTCACCTTGAGGGCCATAGGGACACCTGGGGGGCATTGGGACATGTGGGGGGCCATCGGAACACCTTGGGGGTCATGGGGAGATCTGGGGGCCGTGGGGACACGCTGGGGGCCATGGGGCGACCTGGGGGTTGTGGAAAGACCTTGGGGACCATGGGGACACCTGGGGGTCATTGGGAGACCTGGGGGGCCATGGGGACACCTCGGGAGTCATGGGGACACCTGGGGGGCCATGGGGACACCTTGGGGGCCATGGGGAGATTTGGGGGCCATGGGGAGACCTGGGGGTTGTGGAAAGACCTTGGGGACCATGGGGACACCTGGAGTGCAATGGGAGACGTGGTGGCCACAGGGACACTTTGGGGGTATGTGGGAGGTGATGGGGACATCTGGGGGCATGGGGTGACCTGGTGGCCGTGGGTAGACGTGGTGGCCCTGGAAGAACCTTGGAGAGCATGGGTAGACGTGGTGGCCATAGGGAGACCTGTGGCAATTGGTAGACATGGTGGCCATGGAAGGTCCTTGGAGACCATGGGTAGACATGGTGGCCATAGGGAGACCTGGTGGCAATTGGTAGACATGGTGGCCGTGGTGGGACCAGGACACCACAGATAAGGATGGAAAGGGGGATTATAGCCGGATTGCAGTTAAATTCCAGCGGGATGAAAGGCGGAGCTCGTGGCGGGAGCACGGATGAGGACCGGCGTTCCGGGGTCTTCCCTCCCGCTGCGCAGGGGAGTGCTCGGCCGCCGCGCTGGACGTCCTGGCCAACGTGTTCCGGGAGGAGCTGCTCCCGCACCTGCTGCTGCTGCTCAAGGAGCTGCTCTTCCACCCGGAATGGGTGGTCAAGGAGTCGGGAATCCTGGTGCTGGGCGCCATCGCCGAGGGTGAGTGCCAGGGAGCGGCCACCGGGATGTGGAGACGGGGCAGGGGGACGCCGTGGGGTTAGCGGGATACGGTGGGATCCCGTGGGGTTAGCGGGATGCCGTGGGGTTAGCGGGATGCAGTGGGATCCCTTGAGGTTAGACGGATGCCGTGGGGTTAGCGGGATGCAATGGGATCCCATGGGGTAAGCAGGATACAGTGGGATCCCATGGGGTTAGCGGGATGCCGTGGGGTTAGCGGGATGCAATGGGATCCTATGGGATTAACAGGATGCAATGGGATCCCATGGGGTTAGAGGGATGCAGTGGAATCCTGTGGGTTTAGCAGGATGCAATGGGATCCCAGGGGGTTAGCAGGATGCAGCGGGATCCCCTGGGTTTATCGGGGTGCAGGGGGATCCCATGGGTTCAGCGGGATGCAATGGGCTCCCCTGGGGGTTTATTAGGATGCAATGGGATCCCCTGGGCTCATTGGGACCCCGCGGTGGCCATGTCCCCATCCCTGTCCCTGCAGGCTGCATGCAGGGCATGGTGCCCTACCTGCCAGAGCCATGGGATCCCATGGGATAATCGGGATGCAGCGGGATCCCATGGGTTCAGCGGGATGCAATGGGCTCCCCTGGGGGTTTATTAGGATGCAATGGGATCCTGTGGGTTCATTGGGACCCCCATGGCACCCATGTCCCCGTCCCCGCCCCATGGGATCCCATGGGGTTAGAGGGATGCAGTGGAATCCTGTGGGTTTAGCAGGATGCAATGGGATCCCAGGGGGTTAGCAGGATGCAGCGGGATCCCCTGGGTTTATCGGGGTGCAGGGGGATCCCATGGGTTCAGCGGGATGCAATGGGCTCCCCTGGGGGTTTATTAGGATGCAATGGGATCCTGTGGGTTCATTGGGACCCCCATGGCACCCATGTCCCTGTCCCCGTCCCCGCAGGCTGCATGCAGGGCATGGTGCCCTACCTCCCCGAGCAATGGGATCCCCTGGGTTCATTGGGACCCTGTGACCAACGTCCCCGTCCCCGCAGGCTGCATGCAGGGCATGGTGCCCTACCTGCCCGAGCTGGTCCCGCACCTGGTGGGCTGCCTGGCGCACCGGCGCGCGCTCGTGCGCTCCATCGCGTGCTGGACGCTGAGCCGCTACGCGCACTGGGTGGTGGCGCAGCCGCCCGAGCTCTACCTGCGCCCGCTCATGACCGAGCTGCTCAAGCGCGTCCTGGACGGCAACAAGCGCGTGCAGGAGGCGGCCTGCAGGTACCCGGGGGGCTGGGGGGCAGCTGGAGGGGCGTGGGGGCACTTGGA